TTATGAATACAGGAGCAATAATCAAAACACACACCAAAAACGCATTTTAAGCAAAGTTTCTGCTCCTTCAAACACAGCTCTCATAAAAAGGAAGATAACCGACCATGGTAAAATGGTATTTCCCTGAAACCAAAAATGCCATTTTAGGAGTGTTCCTACATGCACAGGCTACTGTAATAAACCTCTGATTGTTCCTGGATGAAAAAAGATTTAGTTAACCAGACTGTTCATCTCAGAACTTTGAAGATACTATGGGAAAGAAAGTTTTAATCTCTTGCACAGCCAGAATTTTAAAATGTATGCTTCAGCTACTCAGATTTAGAAACAGACTTCCACTGTTACAAATCTACCTGGCTTCCTTCTCACTGCAGAAGTTACAAGTGATTAGCATACCATATTAGCAGCACAAAGCCAAAGGAAAGAAAGTTTTGGACATTCATCAATAATCGAGTAGAAGAACAAAAACAGGTATTTCAATATAGTGCAATCACATACACCTTAAATATGAAGAATGAGAATACTGTGTGAAGTTATAAAAGGGAATGTAGACAACTGCACTGCATGGCCTGCCTGACTAGACATTAATTACTAGGTGATTATGTTTGGGTTTGTAAACTTTCACCTCACTGCCCAAAACAAATATGGAAACTTTGATAATCCTAACAGCTTTTCAACAAAGAAGTTACTAGTCCACAAAATTTGCTCCAGATATATTACCATAGCAGGTGCACACAAACTTTATTCACCAATAAAAATCTACTTAGCCCAGGCTAGTGAAAGAGCAGATATAGCTGGGGGTGGGTTTGCTATTAATCACTTCAAAAGTGGATAAAAACATTTTAATTGAATATATTAGAACAAATTGTTCTTGAGCAATTTGTTTAAGTTTAGATGCTTTGCCCAGCATTTCTTCCAACATCATTCCTTCTCTCCTTCGGTCATGGCTTTCCCCATATCTGTATCAATAAAGGGACAGCAGCAAAGGGAAATGTAATAGAACGCCAACCTTTAAAAAGCTGAAGCCTGCAATTTGAAGCTTCTAACACTACATTAGGAGCAAGGAGGGAGAGAGAGAGAGGGAGAGGGGAAAAAAGAAAGAATAGTACTGCAGTGCCACTTCCTAAAATCAGAACCTATTGCAAAACCATAAGATCTTACTGAGATGCCCATATGCCTTTATAGTTTTGTCTTCTCTGCTGATAGCTTCCCTCCCTGTTTTTATTTTTCTCCAATACATTTGTAGGGTCAAAAGGAGCGACAGTGATTAAGATGAACTGGGTATGCAACTGCTAGTACATCTGCAGTCTCATGCAGAACGCATATGCTTATCAGGCTTATGCTACAAAACCTGTAAAGAGGAGACAAGCAAAGCCAACGTGAAGATGCGATTTCCACAGTAAGTGCTAGAATCTTCAACTGGTATTAGACGCTCTGCATAGCAACAGAATAGACCTGTGTCTATAAAAACTAATGGATGGAGCACAGCATTAACCTAAGTCTAAACAGCACCAGACAACACCATTTTAACAAGGCACACCTGTTAGAAGTGCACCTGCATTAACAAAGCCCTATGCACACATCTATTTCTCTCCAAATCAAAAAAAAAAAAAAAAAAAAAAAAGGCTGTGTGGAACTTCTGGTAAATGATTTAGCTTTCAAAGATGTCACTAGATTTTAGTGTGTGAAGTCTATCTAGTTAATGGACATATTTATTTTATTCTCCATTAGAAATAAAAATATTATCCATAAACCATCTGAGATGCTCTGTATACATACAAAAAATGAAAATTCTCAAAAGGCACCAGAGAGGAATTAAGACATCTTATAAGTATTCTAAGAAAAGACTTCAGGTAAATCACTGGCATTCCTAAATATTAAATATTAAACTTGAATATTACCATTTAGTAAATATCCTGATACCCGAGGAAAAGAACAAGCAGACAGACAATTAAAGGAAGAAACCCCGCAAAAGATGAGAAGAGACCTATGCCAAAAGTGGAAGATAATATTCTTTTCCCAGCCACTACATGAGGGAATTTTAAAATTGTTTCAAAACTATTAGCCAGAATCTAAGGTTTTTTAAACAGAAGTTGCACTATATTTTATTATTATTAATTCAGTTAAATCAGTGCAATTGTGTGGACAGTGAAATTAATTCACAACAAAATGTTGCCACTGATCAAGAAGTGGTTAATTTTATGAAAAAATTATAAAAACATGAAATGTAAAGAATTTGATTTCTTTTAAAAGCAGTTGCCTCAACCAAATCATAATGCAGCAGTAAAACTGAAATATACACTCCATTAATAATCTTATATTCCAGATAGACAACCTCACCTTAAAACCAAACTTTATCTGGTGTTTACACATCTATATTGATAGCCAGTTAGAAATACAGAAAGACATTTCTGATCTACATACACATAACTTTGATGAAGGTCTGGTAAGAATCTACTTCTTAAGATTGTATGTATAATCTAGTCTCGTTTTCTGACCTACCATGCTATAAATCAAACAGCCTATTTATTACCAAGCAGTATAGCAATGATAGGGATTTTATTAAATCTTAAATTAACAGCCAAATATAGAATTTACTGTGGACCCAATAAACACACATGTGAAAAGGAAGCATTGGCAATGCTACTAAACCCAATGTCATCTAGGCCTGGCTAAATTAGTTTGAGGGGCAAGGATTTGTTGACAGACATAAATGAGTTCATACCCATCAAAAGCTTTACATGTGTGTGTAAAAGTAGAAGGCTATTTTGCTAAATTAATCATAATTGGCTTTTTATAGCATAAATAAATTAGGTACTGACTTGTCTATACTAGGAAATGAATGATCCATTAGCTGACAGTGGTTGTCAGGAAAAATTTTAATACTATCTTCCCACATTTAAGTGGTTTAATGGCTAGTATATATGCTATAAAATGTTCATCTACAAAGCCAAAAGGAGCCTTACATGCCAGGACTGCTCCTGGCACTGCCCCCTCCCTGCCCCACAACACCAGGATTGGACCTCAAGTCCTGATACTCCACCTGCATGCTAGGACTGGGCTCTCGGGTCCAGCACCACCCCTGTATGACCCTGTACAATGAGATTTGGCATCCAGCATGCAGGGCTTCCGGCTCCCCACAGGCCTAAAACTTTGGCAGCAGGGAGTACGGCCACTGCTCCCCTGCCACAACATTCTAGACCTGTGGGGAGCCACATAGGCCAGATCTGGCCTCCAGGCCAGGAGTTGAGCACCCCTTATTTATACCCTTACAGAAAGAGATGCATTTAATCAGATTCTATCACTTATGACATTGGCTTTAATCTTGTGTATTCTAACAGCTAAACAATACAATTTAAAAAGGGCATCAACTGCTGCTCACAATGACCACCAAGAATATTTTTCTAAGTGCACACCGAAAGAAAAAAAAAAACAAATTATTCAGGCATAGACCAGACAGCCTCAAATGTGTATGTAATTTGTTGTATCAGTTGAATTTACAGACCCTTGCAACCTGCCACTTTATCACAATACAGGAAATGTTATGGCTAAATTCAGTTTTCTAAGTTTCTAACCATTTTCCTTACTAATGCAATATTTGAAAAAGCAAACCAATCAGGATGGATATTCGAGCACTGATCCCACCCCCAACCCAGGAGACAGTAATCCATAGGACTCAGGAAACAAACTACTGATTTTCCCCCCGACATCCGGGTGACGTTAGAACCAATTTCTGTCTTTGGGATTAAGCACTGCCAGACTGCTGAAAGATCCCTCCTAAATAGCCACCTGCAGCAAAGCCAGCAACATCCTCCCTATGAGGATCTGCAGATGACCCAATGCACTGAAATACAGTACTTCTGTATTTTAATCCTGTCTTTCATATTCTAATCCTCCTATGCACTTATTATTTTGGCCTTACTTTACACATTTAAATCAAATATATTTACCCAACTCATAGAAATACAGTGATCATGCTAAAACAATTACCATGTACAATATACTAAAAGCCAACCACTATTTCATCTATTCGGCATCTCAGTGCTATCCTGTTCCACTATGCTTGAACCCCTGAAAAACCATTTATAAATTACTTGGAGTTTCAGATCAGCAGAGACTTCCTATGCCTGAAGAAGAGAGACTGTGCCCAAAAGCTTGCTTAGAACTTTTGTCCAACTACTCAGTTGGTCTAATAAAAGATATCACATCTACTCAAAGAACCTTTTCTGCCATTTATAAGAGACTCCTCCCCACTGATTTCTGTGATTCAGTCTTAAAGCTAAGGCTGACACCACATTGCAAACAGTAGATATGTTAATATGCTTTTTTCAAAAACTCATGCAGGGTGGAATAAGATCTCAATCAGATGTCTATCAAGTGGAATAGGAGTTGGTCCTAAGCATCAGAAGTTACCAACGTGCCCCATGAGGACTCTAGTTTAGAACTGCTCACATATAGCAGTAAATAATAAAAATATTAACTCTACGTACGATTAGTATTACCTAATATTGTACGTGACCAGTGTATGGAAATGTTGAAAAACAGAGCCATCAATCCTAATCTCTACAATAAACCATAGCTACAGAGAGTCAACATTACACTTGTTATCACCAACCTCTCCTAACAAGAGATACAATAATCTATTCTTTGGAACAATTCATTTTGGAAACAAATAATTCCTCTTTAAATTTCCAGCGAATTCATCTAGGATGTCATTTTTCCTCAGTAAACTCTTTGATGATATTTCTCTTGTAATTAAAAAAAAAAAAAAAGAAAAAAAGGTAAGCTACCAGTTTCTTAACTTAAATGATTATTTCAAAACCTACAACAGAAGTGTTCTGTATGGCACAGAGCTATAATGAAGGTCAGGGAGGTTTTCAAGACAAGGACATCACAAATGACAGAAAAGCAAGAGATTCTATGTTTCCTTTGAGAATTTGGGGTTAAATTTTGATTTAAAAAAAGTTACTGCTTTTACGGCATAAGACTGTTTAGTACTTTACCTTAGGATCAGTTCATCTCTAGGCAAAACCTTAAAATCTGCTTCACTAAGGCGAACCTATAGAACAAAAACAGAAATCACAATTTAACTACTTTCCCCTGCTGCCAAAATAAAAGAAAGATCAAAGTAAATACTGTGTCAAACTTACTTTCTTTGGGAGTGGTTCTTCATTAGTCATTGTGAACTCTGAGAAAGGGGGGGAAAAAAAGTTACTTATTTTGATTTGGTTCAGTTACTGTTTAAGGACTGTTCTGTCACCTATAGCCTGACATTGCATTATGTTCCTGTCAGTGAGGACAGATGACTGAAATACACACACACACACACACACACACACACACACACACACACACACGACTGAAGTACATACACGCGTGCACACACAACTAAAGTACGTACACACACACTTATCTACACCGCAGCATTGACATTCCACCACACCCAACCTGCAGACACACCTGAAACCCAGAGGCATGCCATAAAGCCACTCTGGGCTCACCCCCAGCAACTGCTCTTAAGTGTGTGCTCCAGAGGAGCCTCATCAGCAAGCTCCTGGATTTAGAGAGGTGCCTGCAGGAGTGAGCAGGCCTGTTTTGAGCAAAGGATTGAACTAAACGACCTCCTGACCTCAGACCTCTTAAGAAAGGGAAGTATTTCCCCCCCATGGTTCCATTTGTGGACAAAAACCATGACCTGAAATTTTGTTTCAATCTGTGAAAGCTTTGAAAGAATTAGAGCCACATAGTCCTGACTTTACCAGCTGCTGGTAATCCTCTACCTGCTGTCAGCCAAAAGAATCTCAAATGAATCCACGTTACAGGAGGGAACAAAGTGACCCCTATATTCTGGTGGCCTACTAATCTCCACTATAAAACTTGTTGCAGGTACGTTTTAGTAATGTGTCCAATATTCAGATCTGACCTTAGAAATCGAGCAGGGAAGTAGCCCCAGGGTTAGAGAAAGGTCTTTTGTTTTTTTTCCCATCGGTTAAGATATAAACTATTAAAGTTTTCCCATCAGCTAACTTTGTTCAAGAAAATACTGGCAACATACCCAAGTAAAACCAAATACAGACATCCTAAAGAGCAATGCAAATATTGCTGCAGTGGCACACTGGGAATACTGGGTGCTAGTGCATTAGGAAAGAGCCAATGCAAAAAGAAAAAGAGATTCTCCAGCTCGTAGACCCAGCACATCACATGCCAGCTGAGATAACTGCCTACTGACATCCTGTAGCTCAAGTGGCAGAAGCCTGCTGCAGCACTGAAGCTTTAGAATGGAAACCCAGCTGATGATCCTCCATGAATAAAACCCTTTATTTTTTAAGACTAGACATTTCCCCTCAAAATATTAGATGTTCAGGCTACAAAGCCAAACATTCTGATTTAAGAGGTGACAGGTATACCTGACCTAGGCAACCATAATAGTGTGCCCCTGGGGCATGTGCTTTACAATACGCTATTAAAACATGCCATTTTTTCCTATAGGTACAAGGTCACTGAGTGCACAGGATGAAAACATAGGGGGCAGAATTCAAGTTGCATGAAAAACTATAAAACTTGACATTCCTTCACTTCCTGTTGCTTGGTTTTGAAACCCAAGATGTACTTAACACAGCCTGTAGGGTGGTGTTTTGGTTGTGGTTTTTTGTTTTGTTTTGTTTTGTTTTTTTTTGGGGGGGGGGGGGAGAAGCGCTGTTTGGGGTTTTTTGAGCGTTAAATGTTTATAAATGTCACTCCTGCACCAACCCTCTACCACAGGCAGCAGCACTGGCCCCATCTGGAGAAGCATTAACAAGTTCCTCAAATCTGGCAGGACTGAGAGCACCGCTTCGAGTTAAAAAGCCAACCCTGGATGTTTTGCACGTGCTCTTTTGGCAGTATATGGCTGCATTCAGCAAGCTGACTGAAAACCCGGCTGGAGTGGACACCGTCGGGGTCTTCCTCTCCCCTGGGAGCGAGGAGTCGGCAGGGGCAAACCCCCCCTGCCACAACAGTCTCTCCGGAGAACGGACTCGGTGCTTCCTTGAAGGGAGGGGGCGAAACGCCCAACGCATCAGCTCATCCTCCTTCCCTTTTGCTCCCCACCACCCACCCCCTGCTCCTGGCGGGGGTGTCCAAACCCCCCCTGCCACAACAGTCTCTCCGGAGAACGGACTCGGTGCTTCCTTGAAGGGAGGGGGCGAAACGCCCAACGCATCAGCTCATCCTCCTTCCCTTTTGCTCCCCACCACCCACCCCCTGCTCCTGGCGGGGGTGTCCCCCTCCCGCCAACCGCCCCCGCACGTGGGGGGAGGAGGGGCTGCAGGCCGCGCACAAAATGGCTGTGGAGGCCTCGGCTCGGCCCGGGCGGGTCACTCACCTCCCCCCGCGGCGCGGAG